ATGCATGTACTTCATTTTGATTGTGTACTATGATATGAGGGGGAAATTCTTCTCCTCTGGGTTCTCCACGCGTGTCAGGGGGGAATATCGTCTCGTCTCTATATCGCGTCCCCTTGAGGTACGGGATCGGGAAAGTCACTTAAGCTTTACAGTCAAATAAGACACACACAACGAAATACGTTTCAACTCTCGTCTTAGTCGGTCAGTCGAGCACTCTGTAAGACACAGCTCCCTGGGGAAAAGTCCCCAAGACTATCGCAAGACTGACTCAAGACTCTCTCTAGACTGCGTCAAGACTTGCCCCAAGACTCTCTCTAGTCTGCGTCTCTCTTTGTGTTACCGCCAAGACCAACTAAAACAACTTTATTCATTTTCAAAACCTTAACCAATTACAAAGCAGTTAAAAGACTCTAAGGCGTGGCCTTCAATCATACAGCCAATCATACTAAGTACTGAACACGTCATAATACAATTGATTAATCGTTCACTATATTAATAACTGTCAGAAATAGTAGTCCGAATAGCGACGGTTATATCGTAATTAGTTCCAAATAACTGAACCAAGTTCCGTCCAGAACCTCAAATGGGCCGAAACGATGACAGGCATAACACAGCCATTCGCTCGTAATCAGCTAATTAAGTCGATTAACAGATACGTGTAAACAATTTCATCATAGTACACCAATATAGAAGATGAATGCTGTTATTAAAGATTCCAAGAACGGCAACAGTAAAATCAAATACAATATGATAATTGATTACAGCAAATATACCGTGATGCAGAGTAAACCCCATCAAACAGATCTAATCATTTTTTTTATTCACACAAAAACACAACTTTGAGCGTGTGGAACACACTGAAACGTGAAATAATGTTATAGATTGGATGTTGAAGTGTAAAATTATGATTAGAAAAATGGAGGTAACAATGCATTGTGGGTATCCGGGCATTATGGGTAACCAGGCATTGTATTGAATGTTTACAGTAAGACAAAACTCGTCGGTTCTATCGCCACAGTGTATTTGTCACTGCAATCATGGTTTGAGGACACATTATCGAAACACCAGCTAACTAGAAAAGAAATGTGAAACTTTTAAATTTTAAGTCTTATCATTTTTCGAGTGTAAGGTTCCATTAAATAAATGCCAAAAAAAAAATCGTGGGAAACAACGACCTCACAATTTCTCAATATTGTTAACCCTACTTTGACAAACAGTTACCCCATATATATCATTTCATCTGAATGTAAAAAAATCAATCACATAGAATCATTTAGCTTTAAATTTCAGAAAATTTCTGTCCCAAAGGTTTGTTAGCCGCGGTCACCAGCCTTAAAAGAGAAATAGGTGACTATGGCGGCGTTACTGATTGCGAATTTATTTAATTTTTAACAATTTAAATGCTAATCAGCACAGCACGTGAATTGTTTTGAAAAGCAAAATTATCGGCAACAGCAAAGGAATGAACATGAACTTCTCTGAGCTTTGTTGCAAAATATAATAGTTAAATAATTCCCGTTCCTGTCATTTTTTTGCCGAAAAATTCAGGGTTGTTGACCGTTTCTATTCCCTATACATGTATACTAGTATAGGTGGGTTGTTGTAAGTGTAACCCACTTTCCAAACCACGCGAGGGCGCACTTATTTGCCGGGACTGACTAACACACCGGCAGCTTGCGGGGAGCAACGTGATTATATATATGTAGTCGTCCCCGTGATAACGCGTCATATGCCCCGAGACGGAATCCATTGAGGTGCATATCTACTGGTAGCTATCATACTTTGTACTGCGTCAGATATGAACCTGGAACATTAAGAATCAAAACAAACGTCCGATTTCAGTGAGTACAATACGTTTTCAACTTTTCTTCGCCGATACCATGCTTTGAATTCGTCGGATATAACAAAATTTCTCATTGCGTTGAACACGATTTAAAGGATGATTCATCCAATTCAAGTTCTCGTTTGAATGATTTAAGGAAAAGTTATTGCTGTTTTTGTTTTGCAAATCGTTGCGTGAATTCAGCGGACATTATCAGTCTGTGTTCTGTCCCAGTCAGTTTTCAGTTCATACCGGACATTATGTGACCGTCGTCATTTTTTAACCACGATGCGTGTGAGGTCGGGGGTTGAGAGATAAGTCTCTATAGTCATGTTGGTGTCTAATGGTATGGATCAAAAGAGAAAAAAACAATCCCACACGTGACTGTACTTGTCCCGTTCAGTTTTAGCGTACAGCATAATTAAAAACAGTGGATTCACATTTCACGCATACAACTGCTGTCTAATTAATGCCTAAGTTCGGATATATTAATATAGCAAAGCATTGAACGATGTACAAAATATGGTTTTAATTGTCACCATTTTGGGGAATAAATCCAATAATAGCCAGGTGAGAAGTGTCAGGTTAACTGTAAACCAAAAATACACGGGCGTCTTCCTCGGTTACAATCCAGTACACGGTATAAACTACACCAAATCACCTAAATTGAAGTGAGACCTCAAACATCGTGTTCCATGCAGGGAGATTGTGGTCAGTTATTTAAGACGTTGTGGTGGTGTAATTTATTTCTGTTTCGTACCTGGAGAACGTTAGCATTTAAACTACTAGTATGTCAATGACTCACTTTAATCTTCCTGTATTGCCAAGAACCCGGACCGCGAACCGAGCGGTCATTTCTTATGATCTGTTCAGGTACACGCAATCTATATGACCGAATAGTTACCGAGTAGGTACGCTCACACTGCGCATGTTCAATATATTAAAATGTTGATACACTGAAATATTATTTAGCATAAACTGATTTTTCTTTTTTGCATTAAACAAAATATTTTCGTTTGGTGAAACGATGTATTATGGATGTACTGCATTTTATGCGCATGCGTACTATTAATTGGATGTGTATGCGCCTAAATTACTGATAGGTAATACTAATTCAACGTAAGCGCGGTTATACATAGCAGAAATACGATTGAATAGATGGATGGAGGTTATCTAGCAACCATCCATGACAGTGTACTGTGTTCCTAATTAATAACGTATATGTCGAGTTCCTATCTTTATATCTGGATCTGAGTTTAAGGTGCAGTGGGACATGTTAAAATGCGTCTATGTTCTTTGACCTGTATACCCTCGTGTGTTGGTGCCTGTGATGGCGATGGTATAGTTGGGGGTGGGGCACTGTACCTTGCACAGAAGTTCAATTTTCCGACCTAGTATGACAAAACCCATAATTAATTGACACCCATATATCAGATATAAACTAAGGCAATATGTTAAAATCTCATCGAATACAATAACAACAAATTCGCTTTAAAACACCTGTTCAGGTACACGCAATCTATATGGACGAACAGTTACTGGATAGGAACACCCATACTGCGCATGTCTAATAAATTGCATTGTTGATCCACACACTGAAATATTAATTACCATAAACGGGAACTTTTGCTTTTTTCCTGCATCGAACAAATGAAAATAAGTTCATTTGATGAAAAAATGTATTGTGCATATACTGTACATAATGCGTTTGAATTCCTGATACGTACTATTAATTGAATGCGCATGTGTTTGGATTACTGATACGTAATACTAATTAAATGCGCATGTCTTTTTAGCTAGCATGTCATTTTAGCTAATTTAGCTAATCTGTAATTTCGTCAATTCAAGATACAGCTAAATTAACAGAAAGTCTATTCTCACAGGGAGATAGTCGACACTTTAGATAAATTATGACTCTGTTAATTCATGCCAAGAATCAAATCAACGTGTTCTACAGTATACTTTAACGCATAATATAGAGCAGACATATGATTGAATGAATATGTTAAAATCTCCTCGAATATAATACCAACATATCGCTTTAAAACACTTAAAAAGATAATCAAAAATCACCACGATCCTATGATAAGTGTTTGTTTTTTCATAAATTTTCTTTTATTTTTAATATGAATTTCCTACTCCTGGTCAATGTGTGTTATGCATAAGTCACCTTTGGTCTGTTTTTCACGATGACATCTGAACATAAATCAACATGCGATGCGAGGTCGGGAGTTGAGAGAGATAACTTTGTGTAGGCATGTTAGTGTCTAATACTGTTGACCAAATGACTGAACTGAACTATCGCCATCAATTGATTGGACGGAACTATTGCCTCGGCCAATTACTACTATTTTTTTTCATAAACAATCATTTTCAAATCATTATAGAATTAATTAAACACGGAAAAGTTCAGTATATAGTATATCAAATAAAATTAATGTTTGTTGATTTTTTTTTAATAAAAAGTTTTAAGCTCAGACAAAAGATTACATATTTAACTTATTCAATTTTAACTAATTAAGTTGAGTTGAAGTGGGACACCATATGTATGGTTGAACTTTTGCCGTCTTTATTGAATGTGTTTTGCTGGTGGTATTTAGTTCTTGTGCCCTATTCTGACTACATCATACAGACCTATAGGTGTAAGTTACACTATGGGCTTTCAATGTGTTTATTGTTTCTGGTTGCATGAATCCTTCGGGTGAAAGTGTCCTGCACCTCACCGTATACACGTAGATAAAACTAGTGGGAATGCATCACTGTGAAAGAGTATTGTTATGGTGCCACCCGGATATATACAACTTGACCGTCGTTGCCCGTTACGTAACGCACATTCTTATAGGCTTGTAATTTGGTAAGGGGTGATTGTAACTAATGTAGGGTCCCTAGTGGTGACAGTGGTCGTGGGACCATAGTCATTAAAATAATTTAAAAATGTATTGTTAAGGTATATGGTGAGACCCACTACACCAATAATATTATTAACACGTTGCGTTGTGGGTAATATGTGTACAAGTTAAGACAGGACCGGGGAAATGATAAATGCTCGCGTCCTTTCAATGGTTTTATGTAAGTACTAGTAATTGACCCTACATTACAGTTTAACTCTGAATTAAAGAAAACGCCACTCGAACACATACTCTTAATTTTAATTCAATTTTATTTTTTCATCAGAAACATGACTGATTACACTAGTACATCAAACAGCGAATACGTCGCACTCAATAATTTACAGCACACGGAGGACGACGATGACGACGATATACTGGGACCCCCTCAAAGCTACCAAATAAACAGACCCCTGTATACTGACCACAACTTTCACAGTGCGTATAAGGCGAATGAATTCGAGTACGTGCCGTACAGTGAGAGGATTGGGAACAAGTTTAGGAAGTGTCAATGCGGTCCTCGCTGTTGTAAAGGGTGTATGGTGTCTGTACTCCCTATCTTATCATGGCTACCTGCTTATGTAGTTCGAAAACAACTGTTAACGGATGTCATCTCAGGCATTACAGTGTGTATTGTAAATATACCACAAGGTAAGTTCAGAAATATCACGTGACAACGATTACAATATTCTATTGTCGTACAATATATATGTAATAATGATACTATGCCATGCTATTTCCATATTTGATATATACATTATTATTTCACTCGTTTTTGTATCTCCACGCCCCCCAAATCACACACCAAGATTTCAGTCCAGTCTTAATCCTCTGTGCAAGCCGAAACCACTAATTGCAATTTTCATGTGAATAAGCTCTCGGTTCTGTTAGTCTTTATCGATTCGATTTATTGAAATCCTGGGTGAAAACCTTGCTGCGTACCGTGCCTCAACTTCCTGTTTTGTAAAGTAGAATAAACGAGAATTAATCATCAATCGAGATGTCAGAAGTAACAATCGTGATGTCATAATAAGCATAATCTTTTTGTATCGTTATTTTCCCTCATACATTCGTTCCTAAAATAGCGTATAAATACATGGAGATTGTAAATAGTCACAAACGTGTTAATATGAGATTTTAAACAGTCACACACGTGTTAACATAGAAATTGTAAACAGTCTAACCTGCGTTAACATTAAGATTTTAAATAGTCACATCTGTATTAACACGGAGATTTACAACAGCCACACCCTAGTTAACATAGAAATTGTAAACTGTCACACCTGTGTTAACATGGAAATTGTAAACAGTCACACCCATGTTAACGTGGAGAGATTGTAAACAGTTACACCTGTATTAATATGGGAATTGTAAACAGTCACACCTGTGTTAACACGAATATTGTAAACAGTCACACCTGTGTTAATATGGAAGCTGTAAACAGTCACACGCGTGTTAATATGGAGATTGTAAACAGCAATACCTGTCTAACATGGAGATTTCAAACAGTCACACATATGTCAACATGAAAATTGTAAACAGTCACACCTGTGTTAACATGGAGATAGTAAACAGTCACATTTGTGTTAACATGGAGATTGTAAACAGCAACACCTGTTTTAACATGGAGATTTCAAACAGTCACACCTATGTTAACATGGAGATTGTAAACAGCAAAACCTGTGTTAACACGGATATTTATAACATTCACACCTGAGTTAACATGGTAATTGTAAACAGTACATCTGTATTAACATGTGGATTGTAAACAATCTCACCTGCATTAACATGAAAGTCACACCTGTATTAATATGGAAATTGTAAACAGTCACACCTGTGTTAACATTGAGATTGTAAACAGTGACACATATGTAAACATAGATAGTGTAACAGTCACACCTGCTTCAACATGGAGATTGTAAACAGTCATACCTGTGTTAACATGGAAATTGTAAACAACCGTACCTGTGTTAACATTGAGATTGTAAACAGTAATACCTGTGTTAACATGGAGATTGTAAACAGTCGTACCTGTGTTAACATGGTAATTGCAAACAGTCGTACCTGTGTTAACATGGATATTGTAAACAGTCGTACTTGTGTTATCATGGAAATTGTAAACAGCCGTACCCGTGTTAATATGGAAATTGCAAACAGTCGTACCTGTGTTAACATGGAGATTGTAAACAGTAATACCTGTGTTAACATGGAAATTGTAAACAGTCGGCCCTGTGTTAACATGGAAATTGTAAACAGCCGTACCCGTGTTAACATGGAAATTGTAAACAATCGTACCCGTGTTAACATGGAAATTGTAAACAGTCGAACCTGTGTTAACATGGAAATTGTAAATAATCACACCTGTATTAACATTTTCACAAATCTCTTTTATTATCTCTAGTATTATCAGAAAAATTAGAAAAATAAATGAACTTCGGGGTAACTTAATTCTGATTTCGAAAACAAAAACGTACTGGAGAATATAGAATATAGATTGAAACTTGTATTTACTAAATATCTAATCCTCTATATATGTGTAAATAGTGTTGGTTGGTGTTACTCTGTCAAGATACTGTCGTTACTAAACACCATGCAGTACAATTACAAACACGAGTTATACTGCGATTTACTTCATGGATAGAGATATTCTAGTAGTTACTCTACTTGTTTCTATTTAGGTATGGCATATGCTATGTTGGCAACGTTACCGCCTGTGTTTGGTCTGTATTTGGGATTCTTCGCACCGATTGTATATGGGATTACAGGAACGTGCCGAGAGCTGGCACTGGGTAAGACTTATTATACGTGTATATCTTTATTGATATATCTATAAAAGACAAGAATCACGTGGTTAAATTTAGGATGCACTGAGTAGATTTTCGAGGGAGTTTGTAGGTTGTAATAAACAAAATGTTTGAAAATATATTGTACTACTGCATGTGCGAATCTACGTAATTGAAGGGAAAACACATGGGAACGAACATAATTGTTTTTAGTAGAACGTTCAGTGGATGGACGTCTTCGAACGAATACGTTTATGATTTACTCGGTGATTTGCCACTATATGAATACAAGTTGAAAGACGACAATACCCGCGGTTGCCAAGTCGTCACTTTTCTCTATTTTAATTCTTCGCGCAAACAATTATTTTGTGAGAAAAAAAAAATAAAGTTGCTGCACAATATATGGTTTGCACAATTTACTATAAAATAACTTCAATTAATCATGTTGTCAATAGGTACATATTCTGTTACGAGTATCATGGTGGGATCGGCAATACAGGGGGTAGTACCTCAATATCCTGAAGGTATGGAAGAACCGCCGTATGATTATATGGATTATAATGTTACTAACGCGAACACAACGGGTATGCCTCCCATGGAATGGAATAGGGACCAAGAACTGATAGATGCCGCTATTATACTCACTCTTCTTGTTGGAATCATACAGGTTAGCAATTTCTTCGTAAGACATTTTGTGGTCAACTGATTTTTTTTTTTTTGTAGATTTTTACAATGATCACTGAAATAACTTAATATAATATCAGAAAAGTGTTCGATTTAAGTTAAAGCGGGGGAGTCGTCAACTGTGCACGCGTCACATGGCCATAGGCAATCTCCCAGGCAGAGTTCTATTTATACTTTCGGTGATCTAACCGCAAGGAACTCTGGGAAGGAGAATGGGCCATAGGGTGTCATTGTTTACAGACAAGCGTCTACCCATGAGCCTTTGCGTTTTTTGCGCGTGCGCAGGTGACGACCCTCCCGCTTTAAGATATAGTTTAGATTTGTGATAAATAATCATAATTATATCCCCACAAATATATTGACGAAATTGATGTTTCTGAGGCAACTATATCCCGAGGGCAGATGAAATATTTTACAGCACTCAGATTCGACTCTCAGATGTCTGATTATTCCGACCATTTTATATAAGTTCTACAGTCTTTTATTAGGTGATATTTTCTAACTGATAAAATGTAACTTAAATGAATCTTATCTTAGGGATGGATTTCATAAACATGCTAAAATATTAAAAATATTAAACATTTTTCCGAAGAAAAGGTTCCATCCATAAAAATAGGGCAAATAAAAAGAAGGGTATCCGAACATGTTTCCATGGAAACGGCGACTTTGTGATTTCTCCACAACGTCAAGCCCCACTCAGGCAGCATTTTTATTATTTCATTATTATTATTTATTATTTCAAAATTCAAATAACAGATCGGTTACTCTTATTCGTTCTTTGAACCAAATTACCAATTTCTTTTACTCATTTAAAATGCCCCTACCCCATTGAGCTAGGCATAGTCTCTTACTAAATGACCACAACTGGAAACTGTAGTGAATATGGTTAAAATATGCACTGAATTAAATATATAAATGATATTTATTACTGAGAAATTGGAAGAAAACCGAAGATGAAATACAGTATATGATAACACTGAGAATGAGTTGAAAAAAATAAAATCATGAAAAAGGAATTTGAGGAATTTGGCCTTCCGTGGCGTGATTTTCACTTGTGCCTCGCGTACCCGTATATAAATAATACAAGTGATTCCCCCCGGGGGAGGGGGCATGTGGCATAAACATATATGCTGTAGATAGGTGTGTGACAAAGAAGTGTTTACACGATATTACAACGTGAAGTCTTCTAATCACCAATATGCATGCATAACGGTATTTTACGTGTAATAACATACAATTATATATACATTCTTAATTTCATAATTAATCTTACCGATTTATTTCACGACAAAAGATTAATAAATTCATATACTAATATATTTATCTAATTCAATTTAGTTATCTATGGGTATTCTACGCCTCGGTTGGATCACCATATATCTATCGGATCCGTTCATTAAAGGGTATACTACGGGGTCAGGATTTCACGTATTCACGAGTCAGATAGACAATATGTTAGGAATAAGAGTTGGAGGTCGTTCCGGAGCGTTCAAATTATTCTACGTAAGTTTAATGCATATTATTATTTTTTTACTTAATTTATTTATTTATCTTCTTTTTTTATTGTTTCTTTAAAAGTATTTCGTATTATGATTTGAACCAACGATAGAGTGTCAATGTTTCTGTGTTATATGCGTGTTTGCGTGACGCCTGAAACGATCGACCATTTTACGTCTACGTGACGAATCATTGCGATATCGTGCGAATCTACTCAACAGATATATGTTGAATTCGATTACTAGTCACGTTGAATAATGTGCAACTTCTCAGTGAATTTTCAACCGACACATCAAATTCATACCTAATATACGTCAACTAAATGTATTTTTTATTGATATTCACCTCCGACTTATTATGTATGCGAATAATGGCGTAGATAAATAAATATTGTTCTCTGTAGGAATATATAGAAATGCTTACGAGAATCGATGAATGGAACTATGTGACGATGCTCATATCGATTAGCTGTGTTCTTGTGTTGGTAATAATTAAAGACACTGAACGTAGATTTAAAAAACAACTACGTGGTATCCCATTGGCACCGGAGTTAGTTGTGGTAAGTGTTACTCACAAGATTGAGCCTGATTGGCTGCCCAGCCTATAACACCCAACATTTAGACCAATCAGAGAACAGCTTGTTTGTTTGCAGTAGGCAACGTATCAAATTCAGCTTTGTATACTTGCTCAACCGCAATTCAGTTAGGCGGCGCAAAATATTTCTTAGACATCGGTTACAAACATATTTCAGAAATAGTGATCTACAAGTTAAAGCGGGGGAAGTCGTCACCTGCGCATGCGCCAGATAGCCATAGCGTGTCATTGTTTACAAACAAGCGGCTACCAACGAGCCTTTGCATTTTTAGAGCGTGTTGTTATCGTCGCTTGGGACTCAATTCCCGCACATGCGCAAGTGACGACCCTCCCGCTTTAATATTCACCGTGTTATCGTTGTTCTTCTGTATAATCGTTAGTGAACTTCCTGTTCAGGATTATTTCAACATCAAATTATAAATTAAAATATTATATATAGATTTTTTGCGTCGCCATTTTTGATTGATCGTTCATCAGTTCATTCGGTCGATGTTTTATCTGACACAGGTAATATTTGGTACATTAGCCAGTTATTTATTGAACCTGGAAGAGAATTACAACGTGGATGTTGTTGGAGATATACCTGCAGGGTAGGTGATATTACATGGTATTGATTACTAAGATTAGGCATGTGGAGGAGGCAATAAAATACTTCACTATTACGATTTATTTATCATGATTATAAGACAATTTGTTCTCATTTAACAGGGTGCCTCGACCTACTCTACAATCAACTAAATACCTGACTTCGTTGATCGCGTCCGCGTTTCCGATCGCCATTGTAGCCTACGCCATTGGCATTGCCTTGGCGTCGCTGTTTTCCCAAAAACATAGCTATAAGATAGATGGAAATCAGGTATAGATTTTCTGCTTGTTCTTGTTTTTTTAATGCTGGCGATAAATAGACCATTTTCCGTTTACTGCGAGAATCACGCGTTATGCGTGAAATTGAACGCAAAAACAGGACAAACAAAGATCATAGCGTCGCAGTGGCGTCAAACATCGCGTGGGATTCGAGATTTTTGGGAGATATTCAAGTTCTATGCCTAATGATGTGCTGGCCACATTTGATGATAGACAATTTCGATTAAGTTAGGATATTCGAAAGCAATAATCCTCTGTCGAAGATCGGCCGGTCGATGTGAGCTACGAAATAAAGATCGTTCGATTTTTGCGACAGACGTTCGACGCGCGTCTTTCATGCAACTCGCGAGATCTCGCAGTTGAACGGAAAATCACATATTACAATGCCTGGTTATACGATATTATGTGCAAAAATTACGCAAACACACAATGACGACTCTTAAAGCGTTTATTTATTTATAAGTTTATTTAAGTGTAATTTGAACACGCGCTGCGCGACAAAGGTAGCGTTTAAAACTACTGACTGTTTATTTTAGTATAGCAGATGTGCATATACAATGTATTTATTTACATACGCTTTACCTCGATACAGGAAATGATAGCCTATGGTACAACTAACCTGGTGTGTTCATTTTTTTCCTGCTATCCCGCCAGTACATCGTTGGCTCGTAGCTTGGTTCAAGAAGGTTCCGGAGCCACGTCACAGGTGTGTCACGATTCGACATTTACAAGTATGGCGTAGTTGATTTCATTTCTTCTATACCAAATAATATCTGACCAGCCTTTATTTGTTGGTTACTCGTGGCTAACATCACTCGAATATATATATATATATATATTATATATATATATCGTTGCAGGTTGCCGGGTTTGTTAATAGTGGTTTGTTGTTGATAGTACTGCTATGGATTGGACCTTTGTTTGAGCAAGTGCCAACGGTAAGTCACAGCATACTAAACACAAATTCCCTATAATTAAAGTCGATGTTTCTATGGAAATCGTTAAGGTAGCAAAGTACGAGGTTTCGGTGGTTTGGAAACAAAAATGTTATCTCCACCCACATTCATACTGCATTATGTTGTAGAAGAACATGCGCCAAAATGTGCATTAAAATGAAATCAATATTATCGAGCATTGTAAACTACTACACAGATGAGCAACAACTTGAACATTCTATGTTTTCATCAATAACATTTTATCTGATAAAGAGAAATCTATACACATCATGACTAGGAATGACAAATAAACATACTTATGTTACTTTACTTTCAAATTTATTGGTGCTTTATTAATTACATTCTTCGGCCTTCAGAGTAATTATTTTACTTTATATTCAAATGTATTGCTGCATTTTTTGGACACCATCGCCATCTCCACATTTTTCAGTTGACAATTTTGTTTTTCAGTTGACAATTTTTGTTTTGACAA